CGAACATGACCAACACATTTATTGCAAATTGTAACTTTGGAAGCTTGTTTAGCCACTAATGTTTCGTTAGGGACTTATTTAACAGTAAATATTATTTTGAAGGGTAATTATTTTGGGGACTTTTATTATTTATTTATTTATTATTTAATTAATTTTTTTTAAAAGGCATTTTGGGCCTTTTTATGGCAACGTTACGGGGCTGTAAGTAGAGAAGGCTCGAGGTTAACGCTTAGCAAGTAGTGTGCTTGGGCATAATAATTCACTTTATCTTGGAAATGGATTCTCTGATGGCTGTTCAGCATAACCGTGAGGGAAGGGGCTTGGGATGGTTCGGCTTCAACCCTTCAACACGCCTCTATAATTTTCAGACTTTCCTGCAAGACTTTGTTTCATAGTACATGTCAAAGTCACTTTTTTCCATTTCCTCATGCTAGAAATCTATTTTTTTGGAACTTTGAAGCAAACCAAATTCTTAAATTCTTAAAACATAAAACAGCAATGAATTGCATTGCGGAAACCTCTTTCTCTCTCTCTCTCTCTCTCTCTCTCTCATGGGGCTGGATTTTATAGACTGATACACAACATAAAAAGTCAGAAATGGTTGGAGACTGATATTCACTGCTCCATCAGATTATCCCACTCTAATTAATGATGTATATCTTGAATTTCAGAGAAGACAATTTTGGGAAGGGGTTGAACCCATAGCTTGTTTGTATGGCTGATATGCTATGAAAGTGAAATTGATATTTTCATAAAAAAAAATCCAGTTCTCACATGACTGAAGACTTTTAGCCACAATCCCACGTCAAGTTGTTTGCTACAATCCAAAGAATTACAAGCCACCTATGATGGCACCGTCCATTGGATTGGACTAGGATATACTAGTGCTTCGATGATAAAGTTGGCTGTATGCGGTTATGACCGCTAACTTCATACATATCCAGTGTCTACTGGAGATCCAGCCCTCAATGAATTTCTTCAGGACATAATCGTACACATACACAGTGTTGAATGAGGTTCAAATTTTTTGTAGTTTTTGAAGTTACCGTGCCATCACAAGCTGTAAACAAACAGTTCAGTTTCTGAATCTTGATATAATTTGACCTTTGGTTAGGTAGTTTTTTTTGTTAACCTTCTATCAAATTTGACAATAGTATTGGGGGCTAAAATTAAGCTACTTGTAGTTTTTTTTTTTTTTTTTGGTGAAATAAGCTAAAAGTAGTTGGTTGGTAAACTACTTTTTCTCTTCCCCGTAATCTTTTGTCTATTTTGTACAAATATTGAAATCAATAAAATTAATAGTGTTCTAGCTGCTTATTTTCTCTCCATTATTCCTTTGAGCAAAACTTTGCACCCAGGAGAGAACAAAATGTTGAGCTTGAATAAGTTGGTAGAGCAACATGAAGCTTCTTTATTCTTATCCACCATCCTAGTCATCTTCTTCATAGCTCTGTTCAGATCTCTCCTCTTATGTCTTTCAAGAAATAGAAGAAGATTACCACCTTCTCCACTAAAACTCCCAATTATTGGAAACCTTCACAACATCGGGTTGTACCCTCACCGCTCACTTTGGCACTTAGCTCAGCACTTCGGGCCACTCATGCTGCTTCATTTTGGTGCTGCGGAGGTACTTATTGTGTCCTCCGCTGATGGTGCCCAAGAGATCATGAAAACCCATGATATCATATTTGCAAACAGGCCGAGATCAATAGCTTTCCAGAAGCTCCTGTACAATTATAAAGACATTTCATCTGCACCCTACGGGGAGTACTGGAGGCAAATCAAAAGCAAAACAGTGCTACATCTTCTGAGTAACAAAAGGATCCAGTCCTTTTGTGCTGTGAGAGAAGAAGAAACAGCCTTAATGATTGATGAGATTGAAAGTGCTAGTTCTTCTTCTTTGCCCATAAATCTAAGTGAAATTTTTGCAGAACTAACCAACAATGTTGTGTGCAGAGTGGCTTTGGGAAAAAAATATGGAGGGGAAAGTGGAAGGAAGTTCTCGAAGCTTTTGAGTGAGTTTGTGGAGCTCTTGGGTGTTTTCAATGTGGGGGACTTTATTCCATGGCTTGCTTGGGTGAGCCATGTTAATGGAATGGATGCTAGAATGGACAAAGTGGCCAAAGATTTTGATGATTTTTTAGAAGGAGTAGTCGAGGAGCATATGACTCAGCAAAAGAAAGGGCCAAATATTGACTCTGTTAATGGTGAAGAGCAAAAGGATTTTGTGGATGTTTTGCTTTGGATTCAAAGGGAAGACTTGGCTGGCTTCAAAATTGATAGAGTTAGCATCAAGGCTGTTATTCTGGTAAGATCTTTGTTCTTGTCTAGAGGCTATTGAATTTTTCAATTAGGCGATTCTGGCTAGATCCAGTAAGATATCAAATAGTTGCTGTGTTTGTTTTGTAGGATACTTTTGCAGCCGGTACTGACACCACATACACATCCCTAGAATGGGCAATGACAGAACTCTTGAGGCACCCAAATGTTATGAAACAACTGCAAAAGGAGGTGAGAGAGATTGCAGGTGAAAAAGCAGACATAAAAGAGAAGGATTTGGAGAAGTTGCATTACTTGAAGGCTGTGATCAAAGAGACTTTCCGTCTACACCCTCCAATTCCCTTGTTAGTACCCAGAGAATCAGCTCAAGATGTTGAAGTAATGGGCTACAACATTGCAGCAGGAACTCGGGTTATTGTGAATGCTTGGGCAATTGGAAGAGACCCCGTGTCATGGGAACAACCAGAAGAATTCATTCCAGAGAGGTTTTTAAACAGCAGCATAGATTTCAAAGGGCATGACTTCCAGTTAATTCCTTTTGGGTCTGGAAGGCGGGGTTGTCCTGGTGTTCTCTTTGCTACAACAATCAATGAGCTTTTCTTAGCAAATCTTGTGCACAAGTTTGATTGGACTTTGCCCGGTGGAACAAAAGAAAATGATACAGATATGAGCGAATCCATTGGCCTCACCATACACAGAAAATTTCCTCTTATTGCTATTGCAAATAAATGTTCTTGCTAGTGTAAGACATACTGTATACGTACATATTTTATGAATTCATAGAAAATCAGCTTTGGAACAATTAAGCACAGTTTGGAATCATTATATTTTTCTAATGTCACTTTTAGAGTGCTTCTCTTAAAACAGTCATAACCTTAGGAATGTAATTAAGTGCTAAATTGATAGCTATATATAGAGATTTTTATTGCTACCTTGCATCATTTGAAACAGAGGTTTGCCTAACAACAAATCACACCCTTTCAGGCCTACAACCCCTTCTGCTCTAAATTGAATAATCAGGTTGAACCGTTTTCTGTTTGTTTTTGCTTTAAGAATATTACGTGTAGATTCTACTTTGCCTGATTTAAAATGTTGACTCAATAACATATGACAGCCATGCCTTCTACTCATCATGAGCCTTTATTTAGTTTCCCTTTCCCCCTTGCATTTGAGCTTTCTGTTGGTAAAATGCATATTATATAGGCTTGGTTCAGTTAGTGTCTAGTGTCTCGCCATGATTTCCAGCGGCCGCTAATCTATCAACTGAATTACAAGATTAATTGCAATTTGATAATCTTAAAATAATGGAGACCCACGTAATGCACAGGTTTCTTAAAACATGTCACTACCTAATATTATTGCATATACATACCACAAAGCCTAACTGTCAAACTTTGGTCATGGGCCAGTTTTAAACATTTAAGAAAAGTACGCAATTTCATCAAGTGATGTTAAATGTTCCTATGTGGGCACCTAGTGAGCAACCTAATATGACTCTAAATTTTGTTCCAAAGGCATCTAAGCAGTCCAATTCCATTTTTCAAGAGAACTCAAAGAGCAAAGGAATAACATTTTGCAGAAACTGCTAGCATATCTTCCTTACCAACCTGTATATAGCACCCAAAATCCCAATTAACAAAAAAACGCAGAATTCCGTTTATGCATGCCAATTCGTATGTATCAGGGTCCACCGCCGCCGTCTGCAAAGATGTTCCACACCCGTAACAACAAGCAACAGCCGTATTAACCTTCAAAATGTTCTCTTTCTTCTTCTTCTTACTCTTCTTCATGTCCCTCAATACAAGTTTTGCAGCCTCATGCGCTTGTTGACGTTCAAGGAACCACCGGAAGTCGAGGCAGCCACACCGGTTCCTTCAGGATCGGCCCTGGAACCCAACAATTGGGTGTCGGAAACCGAAGCCTCTGATTGCCTAGATTTGCAGGAGATCGTAATGTGTCTTCTGCATATTTTGAGGGATTTGGGGATTATGTTGGAGAGATGGTGATGATTCAGGGGATGGAGAGGACGACAGAAAAATGTCCAGAGGTTTTTGAGTCCCATCTCTGAATTCTGACCATTGCTTTGCTTGGGTTTTAGAGTCAAGAAGGTGAGACAGCAGGGGATTTTCCGGGGGAAGCGCTGGCTAAGGAGCCGACGGGAGCAATATCCGGTGCACTGTTTTGTATGGTAGCATCAAACGTCACTTGATGAAGCACAGCTAACGACGCCCAATAAAATTATTAGTGTGCTGCCTTTTTTATTTATTTATCTTTTATTTTTTTTAATCTCAATTTAAAAATCATACATTTATATTAAAATTTCTTGTTCTACGGTATGATTTATAAATTAATAATTATTAGATAAATAAAAAAAATTTTAATATCATAGATCTATTTTTAAATTATGTAATTTAATATAATTTAAATTGCTCAATATTATTTTTAGAGAAAAAAATCAAAACATCTTGATATTTAAAATATTAAAATATTTAATAATAATTATATAATAAATTTGATAAAATTAAAATTTATATTGTATTCACATATTTAATGGTTGTGATTAGACGTCTTAATTTTTTATTTTTTATAATTATATTAAAATAATTATAAAAATTTGTAAACATGAAAACTATACATTTTCTAATAATAAAAGTTAAAAGCACTTGTGACTTAAAAATTAATTTAACAACACTTTCTAAAAATATGCAATTATTTTTATTTTGATTTTTATAATGTGTACATGTGAACTGAATTAATTTTAGTTGTAGGCGCATTGTCTCGTATGTTGATACTAAATAAAGCTAATTTTAAAAATGGTAGAGGTGATTTATTGAAGTTATTTGTATTAATAATTTTTACTAAATAATTATTAATTAGGGTTCTAGTTCTATTTATTATGATTTTGGGTTTTTGATTTTGATTTTTAAAATTCAAACAATCAAAATAAAAAATTGAAAATTAAAATTGTCAACAAATAGTTAGGTATAATTTATAAAATTCTAAAATAAATACACAAAATTCAAAACTTAATTAATTTATAAAAAATTTTAATTTTATTCTAGATTCTTAAGTTTTTAAAAACCAAATTGAAAAACAACAATCAAACTAAATCCTAAATCTTACAATGAAATACATTTACAACTTTATTACAGAATAAAGAGTCATAAATCATAACTTTTTTTCCTTCCAAGTATAATTAATGCAAAATTGAAGAAATTTCTCACGTGATCTTTATTTTTTGTCTATTTATGCACATGTTTACTTTTAAACCTATAAAACGGCAAATAGACCGTCAAAGTTGTATATATAGCAATTGGCAAATATGTTCGAAGAGTAAACGTGCAATGCACCACATATTCACCAAACATGACCAACATATTTGTTACAAATTGTAACTTTGGAAGCTTATTTAGCGACTAATGTTTCATTAGGGACTTATTTAACAGTAAAAATTATCTTGAAGGGTAGCTAATTTGGGGCATGCTTTTTTTTTTTTTTGTTTATTATTTATTTATTTATCTTTTGAAAGGCATTTTGGGGGCTTTTTATGGCAGGGTCACGGAGCTGTAAGTAGGGAAGGCTTGAGGTCAGTACTTAGCAGTGTGCTGGATTGTATAAACTGATACACAACATAAAAAGTCAGAAATGGTTGGAGCTTGATATTCACTGCTTCGTCAGATTCTCCCACTCTAATTAACGATGTATATCTTGAATTTCAGAGAAGACAATTTTGGGATGGAATTGGGTTGTTTGTCTGGCTGATATGCTGTGAAAGTGAAATTGATATTTTCATCAAAATGTTCAAGTTCTCACACAACTGGAGACTTTTAGCCACAATCTCATGTCAAGTTGTTTGCTCCAACCCAAAGAATTACAAGCCACGTACAATGGTATCGGATTACGAAACACAAGCGCTTTGATAATAAAGTTGGCTGCCTGGATTTGCAGGAGATAGCAATGCATCTTGTGCATATTTTGAGGGATTTGGGGTTTATATGTTGGAGAGATTATGATGATCTAGGGGAGGGAGAAGAGGACAGAAAAATATTGAAAGGTTTTTGAGTGCCATTTCTACTTCTCTGAGGTTTTAAGCATAAGGAAGATGAGAATACAGGGGTTTTTCCGCGGTAAAGAGCCTGTTGAGATAATAACGGGGGCAGTATCGAATGCAATGTTCTGAATGATAGTATCAATACTCACTTGATCAAGCACCGCTAACCACACACGATAAATTTATAATTCTAAGGTCTGCACTTGCTACCCAAGTTAAAATTAATGATTGTAATTAATATATTTTTTATAAAAATATGAGAATGATTTTAAATTAATTAATTGATTAATTAAAATCATTTACATATTAATATTAATAATGTTAAAATAAATAATAATTTTTATAAATTTTTATATAAATTAATTAAAAAATATATTTATTATACCCTTAATCCATTTGTAAATTAACTAGGGCACATGTTAAGCAAACTCATTTTTAAATGTCTTTTTTATCTCAATTTATAAATCCTGCGTTTATATTAAAATTTCTTATTTTATAGTCTCATTTGTAAAATAAAAATTATTAGATGAATAAATAATTTCTAAGATTATAGGTCTATCCTTAAATTGTCCAATTCAATGTAATTCAAATTGCGTAATATTTTTATAGATAAATTAAATAACTATAAAAATTTTTAAACATCAAAACTAAACATTTTCTAATGATAAAAAGTAAAAACATTTTTTATATTTAAAAATTAATTAAAAACACTTTTTGTTTTAATTAACCCTAGCCACCCCCACCCTTCTTTTACCTTGATTTTCTCCACTTTCTCTTGTTTCCTTCTTCCTCCTAGCCACCACCATCCCTCTCCCCCTTAGCGGTTTGGATAAATAATTAAAGGTGGGAGTTCTCTCTTCCCCTGTAAAGTTTTTCTCTTTTTTGTGGAGATTTCTCATTCTTTTTCAATGGTTTTTGTTTTAATTTTCTCAACACTTTTTATTAGGACTAGCTCTTTGTTAGGGATGATAACAACTTGAACATGATATTAATTAAACTCAGATAAGTTGTCATGTGACTATTTAAGGAATGGTTAAAGATGAAGTCCCTAAATAAAATTTTCTACCCCAACCAATTTATCTTCTATTTAAATGGATTATATTAGAATGCTGGTTGGGGATGACTAAATAAGCTTCCAAAGTTACAATTTGTAATAAATGTGTTGGTCATGTTTGTGAATGTGTTGGTTGAAGGGTTGAAGCCGAGCCATCCTAAGACCCTTCCTCCACAGTTATGCTGAACAGCCATCAGAGAATCCATTTCCAAGATTAAGTGAATTATTATGCCCAAGCACACTGCTTGCTAAGCGCTAACCTCGAGCCTTCTCTACTAACAGCCCCGTAATCCTGCCATAAAAATGCCCCCAAAATGCCTTTTTAAAAATAATTAAATAAATAATAAAAAAATAAAAACCCCCTAAAATAGTTACCCTTCAAGATAATATTTACTGTTAAACAAGTCCCTAATGTAATCCCTCTAATACATGTCAGACTTTATAATGTTCGGACTTTTCTGCAAGACTTTGTTTCATGGTACATGTCAAAGTCACTTTTTTCCATTTTCTCATGCTAGAAATCAGTTAATTTTATTGAAACTTTGAAGCAAACCAAATTCTTAAATTCTTAGAACATAAAACAGCAATCAATTGCATTGCGGAAACCTCCTCTC